CAAAAACCCCGAGCCAGAAAAATGCGGCAGTCATGTAAATGCAAATGCCGCGGGGGATATTTAAATCCCCTGCGGATTTGCAATTCCGAAGTGTCTCATTAGCATCCCTTTTCCGGAAAGGGATGCCAATGTAGACACAGCCTAAGAGTTTACAGTCTAAGTACAGGAGTTGAACATCTTTTCAGCCTGGGTTGATACTAGGAGTCTCACACGTAGAGTTGGTACTAGGAGTCTCTCCTTGTTTAGATCCCATGTCACCCTGCAAGAGGCTGCACTGAGTTTAGTTTCCTTATTTATAAGAATAAAACGTGGAGAAATCCTGCAATTACATTTCATGTGAATTTGTCTTGCATTTGGTACTGCCCTTCTTCCTTATACAACAGTGCAGAATGTAATCTTAAATAGCACCATTAAGAAAATTCCAGGTGGACTCCCCTGAACTCCCTTTTCATACATGTTGCTTTCAAAACGGGGAGGCAGTCATTATTCAGAGATTGTCCATTCTAACACCTCTTGGTACACTCCTGATGTTGCATAGCCTGTTCTGAATTTACCTCCAAAGTGTACATTTTTACACACAAATGTTTCCCTGGGGGAGACCATTCTGACCTCTCTTTGGAGTGTTAATTCATTTGTGCAGAAAGGTTGATATTTATCAGGTCCTTCCATCCCCACCTGGGGTTTTGAAACCCTTGCAACCTGCCTGTTGGCACAATACAGCTTACACCTGACTTAGTCAGTTGATATTTAACTTGGTCTGACTGATGTTTCAGTCAATATTGTATGAATTAGTAAAAACTAAGTACAGGCAAGAACATGAACTAATGAGGATTCTTCATAAGTAAGGTTTACAGTTGGACGAATCCCCAGCAAAAAGTCCCCAGATTTGTCTTACACACAGTGACCAAACCATTTTTCAGACTTAACTGAGCTACAGAAAAGTTCCCCAATAGCTCAATAGAGGCTGTTACAGAAGTTCCATGGAGCTGAAGAACTAATGCTAATAAGTCACTCTGTGTGAAAGTTTCTGCTAGATTCGGTAGGGCTGAAACTTGGCTCCAAACACTTCTTGGACACAATTTGAGTCAATAGTTAACCCAGGCAATGTAGAATCCAGTGCTTTTATATGCTACCAATTGCCGGCTGCTATCTTGTTCTGGTCTAGCAAACAAAGTGTGTGTGTGTGTCTGAGTCAGGGGCGGCCCGTCCATATAGGCGAACTAGGCGGTTGCCTAGGGTGCCAAGTTAAATGGGGCGTCAAATGGTGGCACAATATCATTGAGGGGTTTGGAGGTGGGGGTGCCGATTGCATGGTTCGCCTAGGGTGCCAGTTGCTGGCAGCTAGTCTAGGGCCGTCCCTGGTCTGAGTGCGTGTGTTCTATTTTGCGTGTGCATGGCCGTGTTAACCCTAACGAGCTCATAGCTCTAGGAGCAAGGAGAGAGCTGGTATTGCACACTCCTCAATGCCTGTGTAACCCACACACTTTCTGGGTGTGGTATACTATCCCATCTAGTGACACTGAGACCACTTCCAGGGAGAATAATGAGTCTGCTCTTCAGCCTTAGCTAATAGGCAGACGCTTTTAGCTCATGGGCTACAGGCTCATGCACTAAGCTTTAGAAGTCCCAGGTTCAGTTCTGCCTGCTAGTGTTACACCTGCGGAGGGAAGAAGGAGGAATCAAGGGACAGAGAGTGGCCAGAGCCATCATTCCACTGTCCTCTAACCACGAGGTGTACCGGTAGTTCGGAATAGGAATCCTAGTTCGAACTACCTAGTTCGAGCCCCGTGTAGCCGCGCTGCACGGGGTTCGAACCAGCGGGGTTTTAAAAATGGCGGCTCCCCGCTTATGCAAATGAAGCCCGACTGAGGGTATGTCTACACTACCCTCCTAGTTCGAACTAGGAGGGTAGTGTAGACATACCCTAAGAGATAATGAGCCTGAGGTAGAACTGAACTGCCTTTGGGAAAGTACGAACAGTGATCAGAATGTCTTTCTTTGGGTCATTTCTAATTTAATCTGGCTATACTAATAAGCCTGAGTCTCATTTACAAGATTTCATCTTCACAGCACGCGGGCAGTGTAAAGGACCTTAATGGGAATGTAAATGAATAATCAAGATCTTTCTTAACTATGAAAAAATAGGGGGAAAATCTAGGACATTAAGTGCAAAATCCAAACAAAACCATTACGGTGGTTGGGTTTTCACCTGACTCTAATATAAATGTTAACTCTGTTGTGATGCAAATATTATATTGCCTGTGTTCTACTTCTGGGATTGCCAGGTGTCCGGTTTTCACCTGGACAGTCCGATAATTGCGTCTTCTGTCTGGTAAAAAAAACCCAGAAAATATTGGACACGTAAAATGTTTGGTATTTTCTGTTTTTCTTGGACGGAAGGCCGGTGGGGACATTCTTCCCCTGTCACATCTGGCGGGAGGAGAGGGGGTGGATTTAAAGCCCTTTTTTTTTTTTTTTTGCTCAACAACTTTGGTCCCCCAATTTTTTGCACTGGATTTTTTGTGAAATTATCTGACAACCCCATCTCCTCCTATTTTTCCAGTTAAACAGCTTACTATGGCTTGTGCAGTAAAAAAATCTCATATGGATGCATAACATGGCAAAATTAACATAGTTAGAACCGTTACTGCTTTCATTTCCTGACTGTGATTTTAACAGTGAAACCTTGGCATTGCAATAAAATGTGTGTGTCTGCGCGTGCACTAGATACACTGACTAGATCCTTGTCAAAGGGTTTTTTAAATGCTTCACAGCAGAGTCATCATCAGGTAGATTTTCATAGGAGAGACAAATATTATATTAAATCTAAACATTATTTTCTGTGGGGAAGATTTTCAAAGGCACAAATGGGAATCAAGTGCACAACTCCCATTGATTTTCAGTAATGGTTGGGGGCTGCAACCGCCCTTTGTGTGTGTGACAAAAGCTCCCTCTGGGTACACATGAATATCTTTGCTCTTCTATGTAGCCCCATTCACTAAGGGTGTGTCTAAACTACATGGCATACCTGCGCTGGTCAACAAAGGCTTCCTTGTCGACAGCGGCGTGTCCAGACTGCCACGATCTGCCGACAAACAGCTGATCATCAGCTGGTCGGCAGAGCGCGGCAGCCATTTAAATTTAAATGAAGCCGTGATTATTTAAATCGCGGCTTCATTTCCCTCTGCCGATCAGCCTAATCTACATGGCTCCATCGACGGAGCCATGTAGTTTAGACTCACCCTAAAGGTACTAGCATGCTCTCTTGTGCTCACTATTTATGGAATATTTTCACAAGATAAGAATTATCCAGTTTGAGGGCTAGTTTGCATTACAGAGTTAGGTCAGCTTAACGACATCACTCAGGGCTCTGAAAAATTTCACACCCTGTATGATGTAATTAAGCCAACTTAAGCGGCAGGGGTTGAGAGGTGGATTTGTTATGGAGATGGAAAAATTGCAGTCTACACTTCAGTGCTTCTTCAGCATTGCTGCTGCATTTTCTAGTGTAGGCATATCTTGAGAACAGTATGATTGACTTATGAATGAGTTATCCTAAGTGGCTCTTAACAAGGGGAGATATTTCTGACTTCATGGAGCCCTTTTTATGGATCATGATCTACTTAACCCTATTCACAGTTTAAAGAATATGACCTTATTTTGATTTTGCTGCCAAATTTGTAGTTAATCACAAGCTATTTTCAGGGCTTAAATGAGACATAAGTGGTATGTGTGCCATCTGCGCAGGAATTTGCTTGTATTACGTACATATTAACAAACACATAATCAAATATGCTATTTCTATGCGGCTGTAATACTGGTAGAATGTGCAGCTAGATATGGTAGGAAGAAGATTATGGGTGGATTCCATTCCAAGAGATCTGCCATTTTATATCCAACTGGAATAGGGAAGAAGACATATTCCATAACAGAATGAGAATATTTTTTAGGAAATGTTAATAGAGTCATCTGAGTCTAGGCCTGATTTAATCAAATGTTGTTAAATCTGGAAGAGATTAATAGCACTTTAATTACATGCAAGGGGTCTAGTATTGAGAACTGAGGCAAACATCAATGAAGACAGAAAAAAGAATACACAGAGTTACAGCTAGGACAGCAAGTGATATGGTAGAACAGCAACATAGTAATCTTCCTGGAAAATTGGCAATCTCCTGGATTTGAGAGTTACTTGGAAACTTCCATTTTATTTAGGAATGAGAAGACAGTCACATTAACTCACCATGCGGTTCCAGAAATCTCAAAGGGAAAAACAATAGTGCTATACATGTGTCTCACACACACACACACACACACACACACACACAAATTAAAACATGAGAATCTCTGTCATCCCATAATCATCAGTATGATACATGGGTGTCTCTGGGGGTTTTTTCATTCTAAAAATTCACTAACATTTCCTGACTTGTATATCTGAGCAAAGTTTAGAAGGCAATAATATGATACTTACATTTCTCTCCCATTGCCAGACATTTTGAACCCTCCAAATGGACTCTGGGCATTTAAGGCATTGTAACAATTTATCCTGTCAAAAGAAAAGGAGCACGGTCAATTATGCAATTGGGAAATCCAGTTGGGAGATCTGAACACATAGAAATAAGGACACTAACTAATTATTTGTAATAACAAGTAGTTATCGATAGTAATTTCAAACATGTTAAAAGAAACATTAGCACTTTATCTTTTAAGAGTTTAATCCTACTCCCAATGCAGACAATGACATAACTCCCATTGTCTTCCAAGGGGAGCAGGGTCAACTCCTTAGATGTGATTGGGGAAAAAAAACCTTAGAGAAGCTTGAATTCAGCTTCATTAAAATCTGTTAATTTGTTAACAAATGTCAATGCCAGTTTGTAACAATTTGCTATTAGATTTGAAATTGTTTTTTTCCACCTGATTTCCTCTGGGCTCTTTAGTTTATCTAGTCCTGACATACCAAATTGTCTGCTGTTAACCTGCTTATCAGTCCCTAAAGCAGGGGTGTCCAAACTTTTTTCAAAGAGGACCAGATTTGATGAAGTGAACATGCGTGAGGGCCGACCATTTTGCCTGACATTCTTTGAACCATTAAAATTAAATGCAAATTACTTATTTTATGCAAAGTTTATTGCAAACAGCATACTTTTCATTTCGACACATGGATGACAAATCTAAACAGGTGTTAAATCACTCTGCCTTTCATATCTGAAGGCCAGATGAAAAAAAAATCCAGGAAGCTGAAATATATGTCAGGAACATTGTAAAGTACATTACATATTATTGGTAATAAAGGTTGTCTGTCAACTTTTAAGTTAAAAAAATATGAACAGGAACATAACACCAAGTATACATGTTGTGTCCAAATATATTTATAACTGATTTAGACCAACTGACATTAACTGAGATTTTACAATGTGTTCATCTCAATACATATGGATTTGTTGGGGGCCATAAAAGATAGTTATTGCCAAATTACCTGTGGGGCCGTATTAAACCGGAACACGGGCCGCAATTGGCCCGCGGGCCGGACTTTGGACATGCCTGCCCTAAAGGATTAGGGAGAGTTGGTGCCTGCTGTTTCCTTTGATAGATTCTAATATCAGCAAGTCATTATTATGGGTGCATTCATCAGAAAAATCTAACAGGGATCCCCCATTCTGAAAACAACACAGGGCATTATCCGTATTGTTTTGTTAGGATGAGGTTGGCAATTATTATGTAATATTATTTGTTTTCAGCAGTGCCTGCTAGCATGCTAATGGCTGGGTTTACAAGCTAAAGCAGATGGGGGAAGGGGCACAATACACAAGTAAAGAGTGTGTGTGTGGGGGGGGGAGGTTGACAAAACACTTTTACCTCTATATTAGTAGATATCTAGATTAGGCTTGGGAAAGGGTAGGAAACTAGAGTGTCACTATAGTGAATCAAACCCTTTATCTCCCACAGCAAGAATGCATGGTCTCTGCTGCCTTACCAGACTGTCCCAGCTTGCATTGCAGATGAGACTGTCAGGGCCTTGTTAATGTCATTTGTAAAGACAGCAGCTACCAGTCCAAAATCTGAACAGTTGGCTCTCTCTATAACTTCATCCATGGTTTTAAATCTCAGTATTTCTTGAACAGGCCCAAAGATCTGCAACAGAGAGTCATGGTTAATGTGTAAAACAGCCTTGGGATAAAAGTATACCTCCCCCTCCTCCTGATGTCTCCCTTTTCCTGTTTTACTCTTTATTAATTCTAACAGGAAAATGTATTAGTGGCACTACCTCCTTGAAAAACTGTGAGATTTCCCAAAGCACAGCCCTGGAAAAAGCAGCAACTCAATGGAACCCATCCACTTCCATTTTCTCTTTTTTCAGTTCTGGAATTTGGCTAACTGGGATAGATGCTTTACCCAAACAGGTGCTGAGTGCATCTCTAACAGACTCACCCCAGTGCCCAGCAAGACTCACAATTCATTTACAGCACTAAATTCCAACTCTAAAACATTGATATCCTAAAATAAATAAAAGAAACTAAATCCTGTTTAGATACACTGTATCATGATTATGCCCCAGAGAGGAAATCTGTGGATACCTCTTCCTTGGCAATCCGCATGTCATCGGTTACATTGGAAAACACTGTCGGTTCAATGAAGAACCCCTTTCTTCCTAGTCCTTTTCCACCACATTCGAGTTTTGCGCCTTCAGCAATGCCGCTCTGGATCAGTTCCAGGATCTTGTTGTACTGTTTCTTATCAATCTTAAATGTTGAAGAAGCGGTGTTAGTGGTACTGCTTGATAGTACACCTAGCTACAAAACCAGGACCAGTCTTCCCCCATTGGGTGCACTCACACCTATACTCACAGTGGCTCAAACTTGAGAGGCACTAAATACCTGCAACTCCTGTTGACCTCCCCCTCTCAAAGAATAGTGTAACCCATATTAACCCTTTCTGGTCTTTGTCCTGCTATACTGACTAGCCTACATGTAGAGGTTAATGAGTCAGCTATTGCCTTCCATCATGAAGCTGACACATTTGTTCAGCTGATAGAGTTGTTCATGCTTTTAGAGCCAGATGCCCCAGGCTCCATCCTCACAAATGACCCAATCAGGGGAGTTAGTAAGAATAGCAGTGAAATTTAGGAATTTTTCCAAGTCTGCCTAATTTGTGTTCAAAAGTCATCTCTTCATGGTGCCGATCACAATTGTGGCACTATGAACTTTGTGAAGTGCTCATCTGAAAAGGTGGATTTTGCCCACGGAGGCTCGTGATAGTGTATATATTTGTGTTAGTCTGTAAGGTGCCACATGACTGCTCATTATTTTTGAAGGAGGACAGCCTAGAGCAGACACTGCTGTGAGTCTGCCTCTCCACTGCACTTTATCACTGCATGGCTTGGTGGTGCACAATATAGCCTTAAGGAAATAATCTAGTGCTTAATTCTATGAAGTAAACTTTGTAGAATATGCCAAGAGGCTTGTCAACTGTCTACTCACACAAACCCAAACACCCTTCCCCTTGCTCCTGCCCCTTCTCTGATGTCACTCCCCCACTCACTTCACCCGCCCCCCTCCTCCCCACTTCTGTCACTCTCTGTCCCCCACCTGCACTCATTTTCACCAGGATGGGGAAGAGGGTTGGGGTGTGGGGTCTTGGCTGGGGTGAAGGGGTTTGGAGTGTGGGAGGGGGCTCTAGGCTGAGCCTGGAGCAAGGAAGGGGTTAGCAGGCAGTAGGAAGTAGATGATGCAGGCTCTAGGAAGGGGTGCAGGCCTGGGGCAAGAGGGTTACGTTGTAGGAGGAGATGCATGGTGCAGGCTCTGGAAGGGGACCCAAAGCTGGGACAGGGATGCAGAAGGGGGTGCAGGCTCTAGGAGGGCAATTGAGTGCAAGAGACAGCTTAGGGCTGAGGTGAGGGGCTGGGGTGCAGGAGGAGTTCAAGGCGTGGCAGAAAATGTGGGGTGTGGGCTCTGGGAGAGGGCTGGGGTAGGGGTTGGAGTGAAGAAGTTTGGGGTATGGGGCCCTGCTCAGGCAGTGTTTACTTTGGAGAGCTATGAGTCCCTGTTAGTGGTGCAGCGGGGCTAAGGCAGGTTCCCTGCCTTCCCTGGTCCTCCACCCCTTCCAGAAGTGGCCAGCACATCCATGCAGCCTCTATGCAGGGGGCCCAGGTGATTTCACATGTAGCCCTTGCTTGCAGGTACTGCTCCCAGAGCTCCTATTGGTCACAGCTCCCGGCCAATAGGAGCTGCAGAGTCATTGCTGTGGGAGCAGCACATGGAAGCCCCTGGCCCTGTACACACCTTGGAGCTGCAGAAAGGGATGTACCATCCTCTTCAAGAAATGGCATAGTGTCATGGCAAAGCGCCTGACTTAGTCCTACTGCACCATTGGACTTTTTAGTGGCTGATCTCCCAGTTCGGTTTCAGGAGCCTTCGGGAGATCAAGCCCAATTCCAGAAGACTCCTGATGAATCTGGAAGGGTTGGTAACCCTAATGCTCAGATGTGGGAGTGACTTTTCCTGAAGGGAGAGACACCCTCTTCTGCACTGCAGTGGATAGGTTTGGCCCCTTTAGAACTGTGATTTTAAAAATGCTTGTTATTTCAACCTTTGTGTGTCACAACATGGTGTGTATTGGTCCACAAACCATGCTATGGTTTGAATGAGAACCACAGTGCTAAACAGGCACCAGCACAGTCTATAAATGCCCATGGGTCATGAAGAGCATTATTCCTTACCTGGGGTCCTTGTTCCGTACTTGGGTCAAAAGGACTCCCCACTACTCTCCTCTTGGCACGTTCAACACTTTTTCTCACAAACTCCTCGTAGATGGACTCTTCCACATAAATCCGCGAGCCTGCAGTGCAACATTGTCCTTGATTGAAGAAGACTCCTTGGTGAGCTTGTTCCACAGCATAGTCCACTACAAAACCAAGACAGCCACATGCTGCTGTGAGAAGTAATTCATACCCTGCTAGTGCTCCAACATCAGCCATATTATTTACTGTTGTGTTTTCATAACTTCAGAACAGACTTACTAGATTTGGCTTAAAACAACCCCAAAACAGAATAAATTAAAAACACAACAGTGTGGTATGTCCTATACATGAGGATTCCTTCCTTGTGAAAACAAAGTACAAAATGTGTGCTTTACGTTTAAGAGATTGAATGCTATAGACTCTCAGGGCATGATTTTTCTCTCATGTATTGAGGTTTGACATTACTGAAGTGCTTGTGACTTCAGTGGAGTTACTCCTGTACACCAATGAGAGGAAAATCAGGGCGGTATGACAAAAGTTCTACCCTTGGTTATTCAGATGCTTAGAGAAGAATCTGACTCTCATAGTATTGCATGTACCTTTATACAGACTAAAAATATCTCCTTATTAAACAGGAATGTCCAATAGTGTAGCTGTAACCCTACGGTCAGTTCGCAATGTTTTGCTGTAGAATATAATTAATTTGGGAATATTTTAAAAACCAGTAATGCTTTATTTTCAGAACACCCTAGAAAACTCTAAGAGCCACGTCAAACTTTCTTTTTCACCATCTTCTTGAAGAAATAATTCAGACTGTTTTCTGATACTTATTCAAAATCTCCCAAGAAGAATCCACAAAGATTGAGAACAATAGTGTTTAGAACTAGGTAACTGATTTCCTTTTTCTTTTCTTAACATAGTTTTGCTCTCGGAAGGGCTGGAACCATCTTCTTGTGGCTTTTCTATAGTTTCTATGGCTTTGCCACACTATCAGCAAACTTTCGCACCTGTTCTGTAAACAGATTAAACAGTTCCTTTGTAACAGCCAGCAAGTTCTCTTCAATTTTTAACTAATGGCTTATAATCTCAGGTTGGGTGCAAGTGGTATATTTGTAGAGAGGCCAAAACCAGCTACTGAGCCTCTGTTTTTGTATCATACACTATGAACATAACTGTACTTCAAATTTCAATGTCTGTGTAGTAGAAGAATATGGGTCAGGGAAAGGAGCTCTGAAACATTTAAGGGATCTGTAATAAGAGCTCAGAGGCAGAACAAGTTGTTGCCTGTCATACAAGTCTCTGTGATAACTGTAGCATTGGGCAAGATCTAGACAACAGTTGAAAGACATGAAGTGCAGAGATGGAGTAATTAATATGTTGGCTGCCTGTTTAAATTTACCTAGACTCTCCAAAGCTGTAGACAGAATAATCTTTCCCAATCCAGGAGAATGCTGTCAAGGGTTGTCTACATGCCGCGTAGCACCTGCTTCAGTTTAAAATGTGATTTCAGCCAGTTAACTGAAACTGGTTGTAAAAAGCATGTGGACAATTTCAGTTTGAATCATTTATTTTAATTTAGCTTAAATTAATTAGGAAAACAACCATGTCCAGAAATGGGTTTGCACTAGGATTGCCAACTTTCTAATTGCACAGAACAGGACACCCCTGCCCCACAGCCCTGTGCACTCTAGCTCCATCCCCTATCTCTCTGGGTATGTCTACACTACCACCCTAGTTCGAACTAGGGTGGTTAATGTAGGCAACCGGAGTTGCAAATGAAGCCCGGGATTTGAATTTCCCGGGCTTCATTTGCATATTGCCGGGCGCCGCCATTTTTAAAATAGGAAGCCTAATCCGAACTACCTAGTTCGTGCCGCGTGTAGCCGCGGGCACGGAGTCCAAACTAGCGGACATTTAAAAATGGCGGCGCCCGGCAATATGCAAATGAAGCCCGGAAAATTCAAATCCCGGGCTTCATTTGCAACTCCGGTTGCCTACATTAACCACCCTAGTTCGAACTAGGGTGGTAGTGTAGACATACCCTCTGTTACTCCTCTCCCCCCATCCTCAGTTACTTTCACCTGGCTGGGGCAGGGGATCACAGTGTGGGAGGGGAGTGAAGGCTCCGGCTGGGGGTGCAAACTTTAAGGTGGGGCTGAGGAATTTGGGGTGTAGGAGGGGCTCTGGGCTGGGGCAGGAAGCTGGCCATGAGGGGAGTGAGGCTCTGGCTGGAGATGCAGGCTCTAGGAGGGGTTCAGGATGCCGGGGGGATCTGCATTGGAGCATGGGATTGGGTTGCAGGAGGGGAGTGAGGGTTCCAGCTGGGGGTGAGGGGTGGGGTGGGACTGGGTATGAGGAGTTTGGAGTGAAGGGGGGGGGGCTTAGGCATGGAGCAGGGGTTTGGAGTAGGAGGTGTGAGGAGCCGGACTCCTGGCAACCCTAGTTTACACTGGTTGAGTTTAATCTGTGCAAGTCTGTGCTTAGAAAAGATTTGAGGCCTTGTCCATGTAGGAACTTTTTGTGTCTGTATAATCTAAGGTGTGAATTAAAGCAAAGTTATAGTTACAAATCCTCTGTGTATGGACTCCTTTAAGCCACTGGAGTTTAAGTCACCTGGGAAGCTATTTATCCTGATAAAAGCCACTCTTCTCTCTGGATAAGTGTGTCCATGAAGGGTTTATACCAATATAACTTTAGCTGCATAATATTTTCCCGTGCCAACTAGCCATCTTTAGTTGCAAGGTCTTCTTAGACTTTATCCTAATCTTATAGCGCTTGAAAGCTGTGAAAGTGGATACAGGGTCATATTGTTCTGTTTATCTGCATGTGGTCTGGTTTCTTTTGCTTAGAAAAGAAACCCTATAAATTTCTAGCCCCTATGGTTGCAAAGAAACTTTTCAAAAGTGCAATGAGTGCAGAGTGCCTGAAAAGACCCTGAAACAACAGCTCAAAAGCAAGGTGTGAAATGCCCCATTCATCATAATGAGGTGTTAACATCAAAACCTCCTGTTGATAATTTAAATGTCAACACTTAACTATTTAATGGCTGATCATTTTCGCAGAAATTTCCAGCTAATGTGCTAATCCCACAATCCTAAAATGTTGCCCGCAACTTTTAAAGTGCCAAAACTCCAGCTACCCTTTAGAGGAGGCTCTGACAAAGACAGTTACATTTTGTCAACGCACAATTCTGCAGTCCATTGTAAATTAAGAAATATGGGAGTAATAAAAAAGACACCATCACATTGCCTATCAAAAGGAATACTGCATGGATTGTGTTATCGAGCCATTGAAGATTTAATTTAATAAATGTTCCCATCTTTTAATATGAAGCTACCAGGGAAGTCCTGGGGTGGTACAAAATGCAAACACCTCATGGCAGCATTTAGGTCAAACAGTGCACGTGAACCTTGAGTATGGGTCAGGGTTGGCTATGGCCATTATATCATTTTGCTCTTCTCCATGAAACACCAGGTTCAAAGATGGTCTTTTAAAGACCATTACACTTGAACCTTTTTAATCTGGCAACCCTGGGAAATAGAGTATGTCGGATTAACGATGTTTTCAGACCTTGGTGGGCTCTGGGGCGAGTCTAGGAGGGAGGGTGCATGAAGGAGATAGGGTGTGGTTTCAGGGTGTGAGGGGGTGGAGATGGGCGCTTTCCAGGTGCACATGTGGCTCTGGGGCTCTCCTTCCCCACCCTCCCCCTGCTGCTCCCAGGCACTGACCATGCCACTATGGGAGCAGTGGGGGAAAAGCCTCTGGAGAAGTTCCCCCAGTTTTGGGGGGCAGCGGGGGAGAGGGAAGGGAAGTGACAGCATGCAGAGCCACTTCCTCCTCCCCCTGCCTGGATCCGAACCAGGGGTGTTCCCGGTCCAGAGACACCTGAATTACGGAGGTTCAGGTGTATTTGAAAGTTTGGTTTAGATACATTATGTCTGTTTTACTGGCTTCACAGTAAATGGAAATTAAGACTAAAGCAAAACAGGACATAGGACCAAGGAGAATTGGTAAGGAGAATGCCTGAGTGCTGCCTTACAATCAGCATCTGCAAAAATGATGTTGGGACTCTTCCCTCCCAGCTCCAGCGTTACTCTCTTCAAATTACTCCTTCCAGCTGCTTCTTGGATCAGCTTCCCAACCTAAAAGGAAATGGAGGAACTTTTTACACACAATGCAGTCATACAATTAATTGCAACAGCGAGCTCTGGATATCAGGGGGACGCAGCTATTAAACAATCCGGCAGGTTCTTCTCACCTGCAGTGTCATGTACAAAAGAGACAACTTCCCAGCCTTTCCCAGAACTATAGGGTTCCTGTCACAGGATAGCTAGTCCCTGGGAAAGCACTAATCCTGGACCAGAACAGTTTAATCCAGTCCAGCCAATGAAAGAGGGATGGGCTAGAAGTAGACCCTTAAGGGGCTGCTAGTGGGCCGTTTGGGTGGTAGCATCCATGGGCAGGGCAAGGAAGTTCTGTGGCCTAACTTGGGGGTTGTGTTCCTAGAGCACGGGGCCAGGTGGCTTGGCACAGCTGTTTCAAGACTGGAGCAGAACTGACTGAAACTGGGAAGCCGTGCAGTACACCAGAGACCCCTGGGGCCCCTGAAGCCTAAGGCTAAGGAGTGAGTTAAAAGACTGTTTTTCTATTTGTCTGCTGGCTTCTCTTAAGAAAATAAACCTCCTTGCAAGAGACTGGGCATGGCAGTGTACATTTTGGAGTTGGCTCGGTGATCCTTTTCTTCTAGTCTTTTTATTGCCAAGACCAGTAGGAGAACTAAACTGAAATCTGTGTAACTGGAATGACTTCTTACACAAGCCGGTTGTTTTAATTATATATGGAACAAGTGCAAAGGGTTTTCCGTGCCATTAACAAGAGCTTTAGGTTAACCACTTTCTGTTGATACTGAAAAAAAAGTCACTCGTACTAGCACAGAATGCATTAAGCTCTTCTTTAGTAATAAGCACCATCATGCTTCTTTTATATGATAGAGCAGTTAGTAATACGATCACTTTAATTGTAATTTATTACAATTCATTCCAGCCACTGACACTTTCCAGATTGTTAGCCAAATCAGTTCTAAGGAATGTGTGTGTGCGTGCATGGGTGTGCGTGTGCACCTTCCAAACCATTCAATTTTTAGTCCCCAATTAATTAAACTAATCTGAAGTGTGAAATCCTCAACCAGAGAATACCACATCATCACACAATCAGCTGCACAGGCTTACAGGATCTGACGACAAAGGGTTCTGGAGTCAGCTGATCCCTGTCTAGACTACCGTGCTGTGCAGACAATCAGCTGATTGGCACAGCGTGGCGGCCATTTTGATGTAAATGAAGCAGCGATTATTTAAATCGCCGCTTCATTTCCCTTTACCAAGTACACTCATCTACATGGCTCCATTGATGGAGCCATGTAGTCTAGACACACCCACACATACCAGGCCATATACTAAGCTGCAGTGCAGCTACAAGAGGTAGTAAGGATGGGAGTCAAAGGTGATTTTGAGATTCCTTTGCTCTTTCTCTATCCTAGAGGCCATGGGAGACAAATTCAGCCCTGGTGTAGTTGGGAGCACCCCAAAAAGATGAGACTGCAGATGAGATCAATAAAGTGGAACACCAGTCTGGAAGTGGCCACCCCCACTTTCTGCTAACGATACCTATGATATGCCCCCACCCCGTGCCAATGTAAGAAGGGATGTAAAGCATGGAGTTGGTAACACCAGCAATATGTTCCCTAGAATTCCTCTGAGGTGGGGAAATCCCTAATAACTAGTTTAACCATCTTTCTGCTCATTTTCCATTGTTCAAGATGACCTGTATTATTATACCCATTTTGTTGGTTTGGGAAACTGTCACAGGGATATTAAGGCCCTGATAAAGTAAAACGTACATACAGGATTCAGTGCTCAGCTGAAAAGGGATGGACTTGTGCGTGTTCTTAAGTGCTTTGCTGAATCAAGACCTAAGGCTCAGAGCCACAAAAGTGTTTGGGCAACTAACTTAGATGCCTCAAAGTTTATGAGAATCTGAGTCTAAATAACATGCCCAAGGTCAGACAGCAAGTCAGTTGCTGGCTCACACACATGTACACCACTTGCATTTTGATTCCCAGTCCTTCTCTCTACCATTAGGAATCAATCTTTCTTTGTGCAAAAATCCTATCAGTAGGGACTAGCTGCTGAAATTTCTCAATGTAAAACGTCTATGCATAGGGCCAGGGGGTTGCGGCTGCCAGCTTTAAAGGGTTAATGGGAGAGACGCTGGCCTACAGAATTAAAGTCAGTCTGCTGGAGAAAGTTAAGTCAGCACTGGAGTAATCATAAAGCAAATGAAATAGAACCCTGGGCTCCCACCAGAAAAAACAAAGCAAAAAGCCCACAGGATAATTAGGGAATTGTCAACTGTTCCATGTAACTCAGTGATTAACTGTGTATCTGGTGATACCACTATGAAGTTTGACTGTGGATTTTTTAAAAATAAATTAACTTCAGCATCTTTTCTTTACCCCTGTACTGGTGAAATGGAGTGCTGACATTAGCGTAGCATTCCTTACAGATCCCTGTAATTGGAGCTGATTTTACCACTACATTTGACTGACAGCCAGGCCACACTGCGAAGTTTTCACACGTCACATAGAAATTCTAACATCTCCTAAAGAGTTATGACATTTACGTTTTTAAAAAATCGACGAGAGCCTTGACATTAGAGTCAGTGTTAGCCAATGGCACTCCGCACCATTATGGCTTCAGCCTCCTTCTTTCAAAGGCCAATAATGAACTCTTTCCACCCCCAAAATCACAATATAAACAAAAGCACATGCTAAGGATGGCAAAATTAATCTTTCCTGCCACCCCTGTTTCCATTTTAAGGTCACAATATTTGTTACCAAATTAAAAAATAAGAAACTTTTTTCCCTTTTAAGAGGGATTAAAAAACCGAGAAAAACAAGTGGTTGCCAGCAAAGCCAGATTTACACCTCACGTGCCCCTAGGCACAGAATTTTAAGTGCTCTTCCACCTCCATTGACCTTCATGTTTTCTGTAAAAAATTAAACTTTTAACCCACTTTCAGGCATCCTAAGAACACTGGCACCCTTAGCCATGTGCATGCTATACCTAATTGGATATCCAGCTCTGGCTGCCAAATGTCATGGAGAGGCTGGAGACCATTGTCCAAATTTGGAATTGTGTTGTCTTTAATATACAGAAATTGTCAACATTCCAAGTATTAAGCTTAACAGGGAGTCTCATTTCAGCCTTAACACTGGGAGTTGGGCATAAAGCAGCTTAGTATGGGGATTGGTGCTAGTAAGCACTGGCATTTTGTTCAGCCCATACTGTGCCCTGTGTACTTATGGCAAGAACAGAGTCTTAGGGAGGGTACTGGAACTGTAATTATTTATTGAGCAAAGAAGCCTTTTTCATTTCTCTCTTCATCCCCAGTGAGGATTACAAAAGGATAAGTGATAGCGTTCCAGTCCGTTTAGTCTTTTCGTTCATGCTCCCTGTGGTGTCTCTTAGCTATCTCTGTGAACTTCCAGCAGGCAATGCAGCATAGCGAGGGAACTTTGGAAATGAAGACTCCCCCACAGATAATGGAGCTGTGCTGATTAATCAGTAGGAATGTTGGCACAGAAAATCTTGACTCCCTATCCTTGTTTTGAATAGGCTGCAAGATAGATATCAGGAGTATCCCTGGGTAAATTGTGAAGTACTGTAACCCTGTAAACTGCATAGAGGGTGTGGGTAGATGTAATTTGGCTCATCTCAAAGAAAACAATCTGTTATGTGGGCTGAGGGGGCTAGTGGGGACCCAGCTGTACAGGACACCTCTGTTCAAAGTAGCTGCTGGAATCAAAGTCCCTAAAGTGTTCAATTATTAAACTGAGTGCTGTTTTCTTTGTATTAATTCAATAATTGACAGGAGCACTCAATAGTTTGGGTTTGGGGTTTTTTTTTTTGGATGATTAATCTTTCTTATCAGAAGAGATTTATTTAGTCACATATTAAATAGGTGTGTGCCAACCAGTTTAGGTTGAGACCCAAAACTTTACCCAAATTTTTGGGCTAGGTTTGGGGTAAGCTTTTGCAAACATTATCTTCTATTTTCATGTGCCTCTGTGCTTTCTGATTCCAGAGAGAAATGCCAACATCATACACAAAAAGCTGTAATCTGTATTCTTACTAATGCATTGGAAATCTCAAAACCTCTTCCTTCCACCACAAACGCCAAATCTAAGTCCTACTCTTGTGGGGTTTTCACTCCAGTTCTGAACAGTGCATTTGAATGTTCAGGTGCTTCCCTGACCTGGATTTCCCAATGTAGTTGACCCTGGGAGGCTGTTTAGTGGTCTAAGAATCAAACAAGCAACTGCCTATAATCGTTGAATTCACACAGCAGCGTCAGCCCTTTAATCTTCTGAGGTAAAAGAATTCAGGGGAACATTTGGATAAAACCTATAAAGCTGAGATGTTGCTTGTTTTGTGTGAATTTTGATTCCAGATTGTCTCCAGATCACTCAGTGCAACCCTAAAAAAACGTAAAAAACAAAGAATGGCAATTGCATGCACACTGGAATTTACATATGGGAATAAATCTCATTGAACACAGAAGAGGATTTGTGAGTTCATAGTTCTGTGATAGCTTGGGCCCACTTTTGTTTACCTTTATTTGTCTGGGTTGAAGTGCCAACCTGCCACGAGGAGTAACAGTAGTTCGAACTAGGAAGCCTAGTTCGAACTACCTAGTTCGTGCCCCATGTAGCCGCGCTGCACGGGGTTTGAACAAGCGGGGTTTTAAAAATGGTGGCGCCCCGCTTATGCAAATGAAGCCCGGGAAATTCAAATCCCGGGCTTCATTTGCAAGTGCGGTATGCCTACATTACCCCGCTAGTTCGAACTAGGAGGGTAGTGTAGACATACCCTCAGAGACTAACAGAAATATAGATAGTATCATGAGCTTTCGTGGGCACAACCCACTTCTTCAGATACTCCGCTTCTAAAGTGACTGTCCCCACACCAGCAAAGTCTACTGAATTTCACCATCCTGAAGTGGACAAGAGCAGCTTTTGCTGTATATCCTTATTCCACATCTGGAGGAAGGACATCTTTCCAACCTTCTACCAAATGCAAAAAAG